TAATATAGAACGGTAATTAAAAGCTCTAATGCACACCAGCACACCAGTATAGGTGTGTGTATTGTAGGAGCTAGATGACGTATGATGACGTGTGACGGCATAGTAGTGGTATCCTAATTCTTAGGGGAATATTTTCACCCCTACCCCTTGACACTCTGTTTCAAGGGACAAGGGGAAGGGGTAGGTGGAGGGGTAGGGGAAGGGGTATAAAATAGAATTGGGATTGGGCCTAAATGACTGGAGAAGTCACGATGGCCATGGTTCAAGCCTACCAGGCTGACCTGCTGAAGGACCTGGACCAGGGTCAGGGACTCCCCCCGGAAGTGGTGGAGGAGATGTGCCGTACCACAGATTTGGCTCTCCGTGCCACAAAACAAACTGGCCGCTGTGATCAGTCAATCCATGGTGGTCATGGTGGCTACAGAGAGACATCTTTGGGTAAACCTGGTGGACATAGGGGAGAAGGAGAAAAACTTTCTCCTCGATGCACCAGTTTCACCTTCCGAGCTTTTCGGTACATCCGCCAAGATGGTGGTTGGGAAGTTTCGGGAGCCGAAGGCACACTCTGTGGCTTTTAAAAACTTTATAGCATAGCGACCCAGGTCCAAGCCTCAAGCCATGAAGGGGGTTGGCCCGTCCAAGTCTGAGGACTGGAAGCGAGACCAGAAGGCAAACACAGCTTCTCGCGCTGCCCCTCCTTCGAAGGGTAGAGCATGGAGGAGGCGTGAAGCTAGAGGGAGAAGGAAAGATCTCAGGGAAGTAATTAACATCTGCCTCCTTTGCAGCATGCTTCTTTCCATCATCTGCCTTACTGATGATTCGTCATTAGAGGCTAGTTGTGAAACCGTCATCATCTATTTTTGACAGTTTACTGAGTAGTAGGCTCTCTGTGAGTCTCCTCAGTTACTGCCTTTGGTACTACTGTAAGTGTTGTAGGGGTTGTAGGCTCTCTGTGAGCCTCTCTGCAAGATTTCCTGAATGTGGGGTGTAGTTAGGTCTCCTCTCAATTTAGAGAGTCGTTATGCTGACACCTCCGCTCCTAGTGCTCAGCTAGGCAGCTTGCTAAGTTGTTTGGCACTCTTTGAGCCTCCTTGGCTACTGCGATTGTCGTCAGGCCTTCTCTCGCCATACAGAGAGTTATTTTTATTGAGGCCTCTGCTTGCCAGAGCTCCGCTAGGACATCATTTTGCAGGTTGTAGGCTCTCTGTGAGCCTCCTTTCATGGTATCCCATATGTGGGGTGTAGTTAGGCCTCCTCTCATTTTTAGAGAGTCGTCATGTTGAGGCCTCCGCTTGCCAGAGCTACGCTGGGACAGCATCTGTGAGTTGTAGGCTCTCTGTAAGCCTCCTTAAAAGATGTCCCGAACATGGGGTGTAGTTAGGCCTCCTCTCTTTTTAGAGAGTCATCAGGCCTCCGCTCCTAGAGATCGGCTAGGTATTGGCTAGGTAGTATGGAATGTTGCTAGGCTGCCTCTCATTTGAAAGGTGCTGTATTTAGGCCTCCACTCTGCAGAGCTTCGCGGGCCAGTTGGCTCTGAATGTTAGGCTCTCTATGAGCCTTCTTGGATGCTGGCCTCAATAAGGACATAGTTAGGCTTCCTATGTCCTGTTGAGGCCTCCGTTCTTGACAGTATGACAGTATGTTTACAAAAATCAACATCCTTAAAACAACAACATGCACTTCATCCACACAAGAACAAAACACATTATACATTACACTCCCTTAAACATTACATTATACCTTACCCTCCTACTACACTTATACATTCCAAGTCTCCTTCAGACAAGAAGTGGATGACGTATTTTACAGATGCCGCCTGCCAATGTCAAGTTCATTGTCATGTTTAGACTCATGCTTCAGACACC